ATTGCTGGCATTGTTGGGGTTACTTGTGTCTTCCCCATTGACTTGGCAAAGACCAGGTTGCAGAATCAGAGACGAGGTCAGCAGGTCTACAAAAGCATGTGAGTATTTCTGCTTAATGTTGACTTAAGCAACACACAGCCCCCAGGTATTATACCTACCACGCCCTGGTGTAAGTCAGTGCCATTCATACTGATCTCACAATGACAGCTGTGCATTGAATTGTAATGACTATGTAGGTTTTAAGAAATTCCTCTCTAGTGAGGTCATTTTACTCACTTTGCACTGCTTTATAGAGTGGAAATTTACTGAACTGCGTTCTCTTGTAACACTTAAATTTCCTTAGTCCACCCCCTGTTGTCTCAATGAACTGGCGTGTTTTGTCACACCGGTAATATTTACCTTGCTTTCTTCTGTAGGATGGACTGCCTTGTCAAGACAGTTCGATCAGAGGGATACTTTGGAATGTACAGAGGTAAGGCTTGTACATATTTAAATATTAAGAAGCAGTAGGATAGCAGAGGTAGAAGTTCTGCAAGAGGATTAAATATAGGAGAGGGTAAGCTCTCTGTTGTGAGGTTAACATTGATACGGTTACCACTGGCCACACTTGTTGTTTTAACAAGTACTGAGAGACTGCATTTTAGCTGTGTTTGGATGCTTTATATATCTCTTAGTCCAGTTATAAAGGAGAAGTTGTCAAATGGTCTCATGCAAAGTATTACATTCACTGTAGTATAGTATGTAATATTGTACTTGTTAAAACAGAGAGCATATACTTTCATTATTAGTGTATCACTTAGGAAACTAAGTCTGCAAAGAAATTGGAGACCTCTTAGTTTGGGTCTCTGTCTGTGTGAGGAATGTTTGTTTGCATCTGTGTTTTTCATATTACAGACTTGGGTCCCCCTGGGATATTGAAGGCTAGCCGATAAGGCGCAGCCACGCTGGAGGCAAATCATTAAATGGTTCTTACAATATTGCTCTATTTAAAACTCTAGGCTCAAGTTTTTGTTTTGCCATCTATTTGTTCTGTAATTTGACTTGTCAGTAACTACTTTGCTGTCTTCTTGCTGTCCTGTCAACTTTTGGATTATTGTTGTTTTCCAGACTATGAATTGTGTCTTTGCAGACTTTGGTTGAGCTTGCAAACAAATCTGTGGTGAACTAAAGATTAATTTTTTTTCATCTTCAGTCCCACAGAACATTTAAGTTTGCTCAAAGTCTTCACACGCATAGTCAAGGACTCGGTCTGTCCTTTCTCTAATGTTTTTTTTTATTTTATTTTATTTTATCTGTCATCACTAACCTACTCACTGACATGCATCCTGTCACTAAGATCTATTTCCTTTCTTGAAGTCTTCTCTACACAGTGTTGCTTGTTGTCACACCCTGATTCTGTTTATTTCATAGATTTCGTGTTTGCATCTTCCTCTGGATCTTCATTGCCCTATTGTTCCTTATGTTGTGTTGTTATGCTTGTTTCTCATTTTCCTCCTGATATTTTGTTTACTACTTTCTTTTTTTTTTTTTTTTAATTGACATAATCCCCCTTCACAATTATTACTTAAGCTCAATTAAGCTGAATATATGTCTTGTCTGTGTGTAAATTAACTGTACAGTTAACTCTTTACATTCTGATGTTGTAATGATAGTGGCGGGGTATGTTTTCGTACATGTGCTGAATGGAAAACTGGATTCTGTCTTCAGTGCTAACTATTTTCTTTTTCCCCTCAGGTGCTGCTGTAAATCTGACCTTGGTTACCCCTGAGAAGGCAATCAAGCTGGCTGCCAATGACTTCTTCCGGCACCACCTTGCCAAAGACGGGTAAGCATACTCTGTGAGAGGATCTTCTTAGAAATGGGCAATATGTATTTATTATTTTTAAAGGTGGTTTATTTAAAACATGTCTCACTCTTAACAGAAAGGGGCTGACAGTGTTCAAAGAGATGCTGGCAGGCTGTGGTGCAGGCATGTGCCAGGTCATTGTTACTACCCCCATGGAAATGCTCAAGATACAACTACAGGATGCAGGCAGACTTGGTAAGAAGCATGCAAAGCCCTTTTTAAATGCATCAGTGTCAGTAATTTACATTTATAGCTGTGTTCCTCATTTATAATTATATATATTTTATGTGTGTGTGGTTTTTGTTTTGTTTTTTGTACAGCGGTCCAACAACAGAAACCAGTCATGATGACTCCCACAAAGCTTGTGGCCACTAATGCAGTGCTCAGTCGCTCTTACAATTCTGGCATGGTCATTTCTGCACCAAGAGCTGTGTCGGCTACACAGATTGCAAAAGAACTCCTCCAGACGCAGGGCATCCAGGGGCTCTACAAAGGTCTGGGGGCCACACTGATGAGGTAAATCACTTCTACCGCCACGATGAGAAGCTGTGTGTGAACCTGACAGGGCAGTTGAACTTCGCCAGGATTTTAGTCTGAAAATATTTTGTTTACTTTCTTCCAGAGATGTCCCCTTTTCTATTGTTTACTTCCCATTGTTTGCTAATCTGAATCGCCTGGGCAAACCAAGTCCTGAGGCGTCGTCACCCTTCTATTGGGCCTTCCTCTCAGGCTGTGCTGCAGGATCCACTGCTGCGGTGGCGGTTAACCCCTGTGATGGTGAGCTTTTTTTGCTTTTTTTTTTTTTTCCCCCCCACCCTCAGCTTGATTACCCAGTGGTCTCCTGTTGAATATTCTTAGCAACGCTGGAATTTTAACAATCCCCCCATGCTCTCTCTCCTTCTAGTGGTGAAGACCAGATTGCAGTCATTGAACAAGGGGGCTAGTGAGGAGACTTACAGTGGAGTGGTGGATTGTGTAAGGTATGACAGTGAATCATTTTTACAGTTGCGTAAATTGCACGTCCTTTTTTTTTTTTTTTTTCCCTTTTCCTACCTTTTGTGTGTATGAATAAACTCGTTCCTCTGTTTTGACAGTAAAATAATGCAGAAGGAGGGGCCTTCAGCATTCCTGAAAGGTGCCAGCTGCCGGGCTCTGGTCATCGCACCTCTGTTTGGCATTGTACAGGTTATGTACTTTGTTGGTGTTGGTGAATACATCCTTGACAACTCACCCCTACGCCTCTTAGGACCATGAGACCATATCATCTTGCTGACTAGCTATGCATGGGACCTGGTAGAAGACCTAGCTGCTACATGTATTCAGTTTACAGCAAGAAAAACAAGTAGACAGAAAGACCTATGATTTCACTATCTTTACGGTCAAAACGTGGTGTTGCACTTAAACCCTTTTGTTACTTGTTCAGTGGGCTGAAGCCAGTGTTTGCGCTTGAAGCTGTTAGCTTTACTGCATTGGGGCCTCTCTTGACCCTAAACAGTTGTTTTGTTTCCCTCTGTGAGGGAAGGGAGCTTGCTTTCTTGATCACGACTTTTCTTTTTTTTTCTAAAACTTGGTTTTGACGTTATTTAAAGTAGTTTGTTATGAGAGTTTGTAGTACTTTATTTATGTGTTGTTGTTTTTGTTTTGTTTTTTTTTTCCTTCTTTGCTGTCTCATGTTGCTGAGCCTTAATCTAGAAACAAAAGTCTGAAAGTTCACAGGGCCCAGTTTACACAACTTGCTGGAAAGGCTTTTTTTGTGAACTGCTTTGTGTACATGTTTACTTTAACTAATCATGAACCTTCCTAATGAAATTGGGACCATATGGCTTACCAAACCATAAGCTGTGTCCTACACTTGACATTAGTGCAGTAGTTGGTTAGTGCTATGTGAACTGTCATAAACTTGAGATGCAATCATGCACATTTTATGTTTGTCTACGTCCACACACACACACACACTTTTTATATTTCATCTGAAATGTTATCCAGAAGGTCCTTTGTGATTCATGCCTTAACAAAGCAGTTTGAAATGTAGTTTTGATTCTGCAAGGCAAAATTGACAGAATATGAGCATTATTACAGTTACTGTGAGCTTATTTTTAAAAGGAAAAAAGACTGTTACATACCAATGATTGTGATGGCTTTTTGTACTTGTGTATATTAATAAAAAACTTGAAGTACCCAGTCTGTACTGTTTGACTAAGTACTGAGGGCTATGAAGGTATTCTGAATAACTGCTGTAGTTCAGAACTATTGCTTTATGACATATTCATTAATGTAAACATACTACATTCGATTTTTCTAAATGTTCCTTTACGAAGAGTTTGTTCGACTCTGGCCTCCTGCTGACATCAGTGATTTCCTTAGTAAGGCTATCTCATGCACACACTCAATCGGAAGAAAGTTGACTTGTTTCAGAGTGAATGAACTGAGGGGGTGTACCAAGGCTCACCATAAACGTATTATACAAATCAAATATCTGGAATCCCAGATGCTGAAAATGAGAAGAACTAGTCCCTTGTTTTTAGTCAAATGACAGCCAGATATTGCAGCACACAGCTCTATTTTCTTCTCTGCACATTTGTACATTCATGCAATGCAGCTGCAGTTATTTCTGTTAAAAAGGCTGTCTGAATCTGATCCACACATTCAGGAAGCTTTACTACCAGGAGGGCATCAAATCACGGTTGAGCAAGTTCACATGCTGAGGTGAATGATTTAGTCCACACTAACTAACGGCAGATTGAAGTCCGTGTAATATTTCACTTTATCGGTTCATTATTGTCTTTGAAAATTGTAAAACATACCTTGGTGTGGTGGAATTCCCCACTTCTCTGTATGAGCAAGTACTAAGCAGGCCTTGTGTAGAGACATTTTGTCCAAATCCCATGACGCTTGATATTTTCTATAAACTTGATTTATAGAATATACTACCATCACTAGTATTTTCAGTAAATAGTATTATTAGTCAATATCCTTTAACTCTTGCCTTGTATGTGACTGAAATTTGTCATCCGTGGACCTAAACAGAACATTGCTCACATGTTCAGGTACTTCACTAACCACAAATTACAATGAAGTTATTCTCAGCTTGTTCCACTTTACAAGAAGCGCACATGTGATTCATCTCCGAGGACAGAAGCTGAAAACATCTAAATAAAAGCACCCAATGTTTTTATTACGGTTAACAGTATGACAAACTATATTATTCTATAATTCACATCTTATTGGCACACCAACAAAATTTACATCCACAATAATTCACACAAAATGCAAACTAGCTCACTGTTACATCCCAAACATGCTCCAGAAGAGGTCAGCACAAAGCATTATTTAGCTGTCAGATGAATTTGGAGATTTACAACGCCGCAGTTTATCATGAGACCATCCTAACCCTTTGGCTTCAAATCATGTCTACACTTCAGCTATTGTGCTTTACGGTAGAAATACTTGAAAGTGGTGACAGGAAGCAAGCACTGGTGCAGTGTACATATTCAAATCAAAAGATATAGGCAAACAGTCCAGTAGTAGGAGGCTTGATCGTAACTAAATAAATAGGCACATGACGGAATTTTACTCTGCAAATTTACTCTGCAAAGGTAGGCTAGTCCTCAAAACGCTAAAGCACACAAAGTGAAAATAAGGATCCATATTTACAGCAATACTCCCCAGTCACAACATTCCTGTGTCAAAGAAGGCTTTGTGTGCTGTGTTGCATCTACAACGGCAGCACTTTGGCCTTTGCGGAGCACCGGCAGTCTAACAAAGACATGTTAAAAGTGAGGAATGTCACAGAGTCGAGCTAAAAGCAAAGCATGTGTTATGGAAAAGAAGAGGGAAGTGAATTTCAGTGCTGGTGGACTCAAGAAGAAGGTGTGATGTTAACGATCCAGCGTATCGTGTTGCATGTGGTCCGTGGATAAGTGGGAGCATTGAGATTTGTTGTTCTCTCTTTGTGATACTCGGAGGCCCTCCCCCACCGCACTTGTTTGGACTAAGAGAAGTGACTGAAATGTAACTTTGGTGTTTCCCTTCTCATGCAGACAAGTTGATTATGAAGGGCTGTGTAACCATATGATCAGGCGACAGTTGGGGGGGGGGGGGTCAGCTCACCAATTATATAACCTCCCTGCTGTTTCTGATGGCACAACACAGGACCATACTGAAGATCATTCCTATAATCTGAAATCACAGACACATATTGTGGTTACCTGAGGAATATCGGTCACAATTAATTAAAAAACTCAAACTTTTCTCACCATGACTCCTGCAATACCAATCCCTATGTATCCAATGATATACAGCTTTTCATCGAAGAAGTCTGTTATTGCAGTCAGGCAGTCCTAATATCAAGCAAAAATAGCAAGAAACATTCATATTGATCATTCTGCACACAGCAAAGTAGGTTCATCACAGCAAATAGTGCTTCATTTTAAAATGGTGTTTTACTGCCCTCATGTGACTATGAAGTGTCCCTGCAGGCAGAGGGGTTTACCTTGACGTCTTCTGGGAAGTCTGCACACACATCCCTGTTTGGCTCCAATGTGGAAACTCCGCAACAGTTCAGCTGCAAATATAAAAAGAAGTAAAAACAAAACAAAACACAACATGATTTTAATGGTATTGATTGCAACCCTGAACATGACGGCGAAGTTTTACTCACAGCTTTATAATAAGTCGTTACTATTGCAGTTCCATTTGGACTAGAGTCGAGGGTGGAGCTACTGTAAAACTTTTGGACTTCTTCAGAAATCTGTTATTAAAAGAAGAAAAAAAAGGGTTAGTTATGGGATTTTAAAAAAACAGAGAATATTTTTTGTTATTTTGTATTTAATCATCAAATAACTCCACCTGTTCCTTGTTTAGGAATCCAAACACACCAGCAGTGACTTCTGCTCCAAAGATTATCACAAGGCAAGCAAAGAACTGCAGAACAGAAACAAGGACTATTATCGCCCTCCTGACCCAGTATGAACCTTCCAGATCCCTCAGGTCATCTGGATCCGGTCTTTTATCAGTTCCCAGAGTCAGAACCAGACACGGAGAAGCTGCATTCAGCTTTTATGCTCCTTATATCTGGAACAAACTCCCAGAAAGCCTCAGATCAGCTGAAACACTCAGTTTATTTAAATCCAGGTTGAAGACTCACCTATTCTCAGCTGCATTTGAATAAAGCACCAAATCCGCACTTAAGCTTAAATTTCAAAACTTACATTTTAACTACTGATTTGATCTCTTTTGATTTTATATACTGTTTTGTTTGTTTGTTTGTTAACTAGTTAGTTAGTTTGTTTGCTTGTTTTAATCAATTTTAAATCATGCTTTTTATTTGTTTTTGTTTCTAATGTCTCTGTAAAGCACTTTGAATCACCTTGTTGTTGAATTGTGCTATACAAATAAACTTGCCTTGCCTTGCCTTGCCTTGCCTCTAGTGGGAGTCATCCACACACGTAACACAAAAACTAATCAGTGATTGATTCATTTATTGGGGAACAACAGTTGGCCAAACAATTTTGGGGGCTGTTCCTGGTGATTTCTTCTGAAATCCCTTAGAAAGAAATGTATAATTCTGCCCTTTTATACAAATGGAGAAAACAAGGGCCTTGTTGTTAAAAAAAAAAGATTACACTAAACTAAAGTTAATATTTGTCTATTATTCATTTGTTATTAGACAGCCTAATTCTATACATCTTCGCGATCACTCATCAGAAGCATACACATCAAGTTATTTCAGTGTTAGTACCAATTTAACGGTACTATCAATTTAAGCCTCATGGAAACAAATATAAAAATAATACAAATGCAATGAGAGGTGACGCTTTGAACCCACCAATGCAAGAAGACACTGAGACTCACGAATGGCCCCAAAACAACCTAAGAACCCCACGACCATCATCAACGCACCGGCACCAAGAAGGATGTACACGGCTGAGGAGAGAGACCAGACGATAGATCAGTGCATTTAAAATGAAAAAAATGGAAAATTAATGTTTTGTGTTTTATAAACAAGAAGATTGTGAAAGACATATGAGAAGCATCTGATCGTGGTGTTCTCAGTATCACATGGCTGCAGTTTATAGTTTCCACTGAGGGTGTCAGCGTGATGCAATGGTTGCCTTTGCTGGAGCAGAATTTATAAAAGGATTGTTTGTGTTGTGTTTGTAGGTGGAAGCATCTTCGGTAGCAGAACATCTCTGAATAGACTCACACAATTCAGTCTATTTATTAGGCTACTTTAAACAATGAATTTGAAGTTTTTCATGATCTGAAACATAGAATCTCTGGCACAAATGAATTATGTTCTTAACGTTACATTATAGCATCTCTGATCACTTGAAAAAAGGTGGGTTGAACAAAACACAGTTCTGGACTCTTTCCTGCTCTGGACAGCTACAGAAATAGCTTGAAGTCCTGTCCGTATATAGAGTAGCTGTCCAAGGCATAGGCAGAGTCTGTTCAAAATCATAATCAAATTTGAAAGAAAACTAATAGGCCTAGAGAGCCCACTGAGAAACGATGCTTCTAATTGACTCTTTTGATGCATTAGTAGGGTTTCCAGTTACTTAGACTTTGTCCATTCATGCTCCTGCAGGGTGAAGAAGCAGACAGATGCCATCTGTCCTCCAAAATCTAATTTTCAGAGGGCTTGATTGCTGCAGATTTCAACTGCGTCTGCCACCATCTATGCTCTCCTCAAGCCTGAGTGACGTCACCCTCTCGGTCTACTCCCCTGCTTCTAGTCCTTGCAACTGAGCCCCTTCACACTGTAACTATACACCAAGCAGGTCCCTTAGGTCCATGCTAAGGGCCTAATCGGTGACACAGGCAGCAACCACTGCAGCAATTTAATTAATCCACATGGGGCAAATGCAAGCTGTTGTTTTCTTGCTGTGCGACAAAAGGGAAGGTAAAGACGAGGCGAATACACTGCTGAGCTGAAGGGATCTAGAGGGATACAGAGCTTCAAAGAAAGTTGTCTGGGTAAGCAATGGAAAATATAATGGACCATGAAAGCTTTCAATTTATATACAATTGTCTACACAGAAGTGATCTCAGCTGCTCATTTTTTCCCCAACACTTATACACTGACTTTAATATCTGCTCTTTGCTCTTTACTCATTCAATCCAGAGGTATCTACCATCTACCAGACACCTGCCAAGTGCACTTCCTGCTTCACGTATCTTTTAGAAATACAAATTATTGAGTATAAACATCTGTAACATCTCTCAGTTTAGCTCCATCTCTATCTTATATACACATGTAATGGCTGTTTACACACTAGAGAGTAACAAAGGTGATAGAATGGAAAATGAAACCCTCAGAGAGAATGCTGCCACTTTGCCTTATTATGGTATCACTCTGTTTAGTCTCATTGCTAGAAGTGGGAGCAACAGTCAGTTGTTTTGCCCAGGAAGCTTATAACGTTTGGCTGCAAAGGCACAAAGTTATCCTCTGCAGAACCCAAGTGTTTCCAGTTAAATGCCGGATTTATGGGCTTGTGTTGTCCATTTGCAGAAAGAGCAATTGTGGGAATTCAGCCCATGCAGAGGCTATGGAGGTGCACTTGCATGTATTTCTCCGAAAGACAACAGTTAGTTTGATGACACTGAAGGAAACTGTGGAATTCACCACAAATAAGAAAACACACCAAAAAAAAACCCCCAAAACCCACACACAAGTAATTCAGACAGTGGCTTGGTCAGCTTTCTGCTTGACTTCACTACAAAGAAATTCCTTGTATGCTATAACCTCAGTTTTTTCTAGAACAGAGACTAAGTTTAAGGGAAAACACTACGGAGTGCAGCCCGCATTGCTGGTTTATGTGGACTACCAACAAACTATCTTGGCGCCATCTTAACACAGCCACAAACATCTGCATTAGAAGGCAGGAGAAGTAGAAGATTTATATGATGGAGACATGAGTTTTGGGTTTGTGAGCCCACTAGTATTAGAGGATCCCTACTGATGATACAGTAACAACTGATATCAGTCATACAATTGGCTCATAACTGGCTGTCAACTAGACCTGCCATCAGCATACTCCTCTACCCAGTTTGTGAAGCATGTTTGTCTCGTACAGTAGCCAGAAAAACAAGATTTCCAGATCACACCCACCCTCTGAGATTTTTTTCCACACAGTTACATATTAGTCATAGTCACAGCATCTCGTTTTAGAGGTGGCAATAACAAACTCTCTGTCTAGCTCTCTCCTTCCCTTCTGAAGCCTTCCAGGGTTTCTGCCAGTTTTTTAATCAGCTATTTTACCTCCAAAATATTGATCAGACCAACATATGCTCCGGTTTTAACTGCACTCCAAATGTTCTTTAATCAAGAAAATCTAATTCACATTACATTTGATTTGCTTAACCTAAAGTGAGAAATATAATCACTGCAAATGGGAAAGTGAGGAGGGGACGGTAAAGAACAGTGGGACAGAGAATTTGATTAAAATGACTCATAAAGATGTAACACAGTAACAGAGAAATTCCAGGATATTTGCATATCAAATAAAACCAAGCTGGAGAAAAGTTACATCATCTGGAGTACACTGCATCAACAGATGACTTAAGTAACATGGTACTTTTTATTTTCTACTGTATCTTGAAATGTTTTAGGTTGTAATCTTGGCAATATGATCGTAAGTATAATCGAAAACACTGCCTTTGGTTGCCCTGTGCTGCTTCCCCCTCCCCTCTTCTTTGCTCTATTTTCATTTTTTACTAGGTTTGCAAGCAGGATATAGTCTTCTGTCACTGGCCCCACCCAACCTGCTACTCATGTCCTGAGAGAGGCAGCCAGTTCCACGAAGGCAGAGCAGAGAGCTGATGAAGTGAAGTCACCATTTTAGGTCATGGCTTAAACGGGAGTAACAAGAATAGGCTTCATTCTAATCATCGGCTCCCACACACTGTCAGAGAGAAGGCCTATTGTATGGAGTGCTGAACACTAGCTGTTTGTCTTGTCTACTGTATGTTTTAATAATCTACTGTGTGAGCTTTGCAAAGACACTCTTATACGATATTTCAGCAAAGAGACAGAGCTGTTCATTAATCAGCTAAAGGCTCTCGTGCATCGTTTGTACATTTTTCTGACTGGTCGTTTTTATGTTATTTCAGTCGAATCAAAACCAAATAAGCATTTATGTCAAGATTTGAATTTCTTCGTATCCCACGAACAGGAGAATTGCCACTAATGGAAAGTTTCAATCAGTTTATCACATTTCACTTCCTCTGTGCGCATATTTTAGCCACTTTCAAAGTGAAAGTGAAGAATTGAGGGCTTCAAATGACAAATTCCTTAAAACAGGCCTAGTAACTGTGGACATGTTTTAACTAACATGTTTTATTAAACAAACTTTCCTTGTGGTGTGTGGAAAGAAGTAAAACATCTCGATGCGCTGAAGATAAAATGTGGCTGTTAAATGTCAAGCAGTACTTGAAGGGTTCTTCATACTTGTAAGGGATAACAGTACCAGACATTCGGTCTCATCCGCATGTGTACACGTGTATTTACTTCTCCGTATGTGGGATTTTTTAGGGCACCTTTAAAATGTTACACATTGAACATTTATTTAATGTAGATAAACATGTAGGGATGTTTCATCTCATTTTCAAGGGGGTCCATGTAATCAAGATGGTGTAATCAAGATCCATCAAGATGGTGAACTGCTGAGAAGAAATTGGATCCATTTTGGATTTTAGTTTGTTTTTTTTATCCACATCCACATATATGTTTTATTCTGCAGAAGATGAGACAGGCATATGTATGAGGCTATAGAATCTCTGACATACCTATGAAGAAGGTGTAGGGGGCGCCATCGCCTGTCAGGAGGTCCACTGTGTTTGGGTCAAACCTAAGCCACAGTCCCACCGCCAGCACCAACAATCCAGACACCTGGGGATTGATAAATTATACAATCAAAATTATTTGTGACTTTATAGTTCTGTTGAATTTGATGAGTGGTAAGTAGCAGTTCTTCTGTTTGTGCAGAAATAATTTCACAGTTAAACAGTGAGCACTTTCATGTTTTCTTTTAGTCTTTATTTATCATGAGGTAGTTACGATTCTGCAGGTGATGCTAAAGTGGCTAATAATACTCATAGGCTTTCCCCCCCCCCTTCTTTTTTACAGGGGGGGGGGGGGGGGGGGGGGGCAAAAAAGTGTCTATGCTGAGTAGCATCTTTCCTCTCCAGGAGAGCTTGGCTTACCATAACACGTTTGATTAAAACCAGGTTTTACTCTGAGAAAATGAATCATTTTAACCTCCTACATAACATTATTTAATTTAAACATCCAAAAATAAAGCCAAAAAGAATAAAAGGACAAATGTGGATTAAGGGTAAAAGATATTGTCTGTGTCATAGTTATATATTAATCCTAACCATGTTCCTTATATGTTCTTCCAGGACAAGTGTCACATGTTATATGCAGATGAAAAAAAATTCATCTTCAAAATTTTGTAAAAGCATGGAATCCCAAGCAGCACATCTTCAGTAACACTCTCAGATCCTTTTCCTGACTTGCTCTTCAGATTCAGCCAAACTAAAGAGTGGAAGTGTCTTCTGTTAGTTCAATTCAATTCAATTTTATTCATATAGCGCCAAATCACAACAAAAAGTCGCCTCAAGGCGAAGGAACAAAACTCAAGCTGCAGCTCCAACCCTCACTGCAGGAAACTCAGTCCGGACTGGGCCACTCTTTTTTTTTTTTTTTTTTTAGGAAGGTTTAGTGAGGTACTCTGCCAATAAAATGATTGAAAATAAGGCCACGCTGCAACAACAGCCCATGCATCCTCATGGCCCATCAAAGTACCACATTTGAACACAAGAATTAGCATCAGAATCAGCGGTCCATCTCCCATGGTGCATTTCAGCCACAGGCTGTGCCAGCCTCACAGTGCCTGGGTGATGTAACTCACACTGGCATTGGCTGCTTGTTGGCTCTGCACCCCAAAATGACAGCGTACTGTACGCCCCTTTTGGCTACAACCACAACAGCTCTGCTTTCAGTCCCAAAACTGCCGAACAAAGAGGCTGCTGTCACTTTGGATGACACAAGTGATCGTCTTACAGAGCACAAATGAGTCAATGCAGCCAGTTAAACTCACACTGTATCATTTAGCAGTAAAATATTGAGTATCTTTTGCAAGAGACAATAATGAAAACCAAACAAGAGTAAACCCAAACAGGCTCTTTGTTAATGACCTAATAAATGTATCTATTTATCTAAACACATCACTGATTGAAAATGATAATAGTTAAACAAGGGGGGGTTTCTTGCAGCCTCAAGTAGGGGCAAGAGTTTTCCTTGATGTTCCCAAACTCAGGGTTGATAAGTTTATGAGATACATTTGTGGGGTGAACAGAACAAAAAACAAAAAAGGCAAACCTAAAACCTTATTGGAATACTTATATTCTTTGATTCACGCAGAATAATTAAAATAAAAGAATACAAAAAGAATGAATCTTGATCCAATGTTTAAGGTTGCATACTACAGTCTACATGCAAACTGACAAAATATTAGAAGCTTAAAAGTACTTCTCTGACACATTTAGCCTTCTAAACACCAAGAAACTTATGTCATATGAGAAGTCACTGGCATATAATCGAAAGTGAATCTGAGTCACGGGGAATCTTATCTGAGCAGCACTGCAGACCAAAACAAAAACCTTTCATGATGTTCCCCAAATAGATTAACCCCGCATGTAAAAGAAAAACAAAAAAAAGCACCCTTCACACGCCTGCAGCAGGAAAGTCACACCTCAACGTCAAATCATGAACTGGGATCTGTGTTGGAAAAGTAGCTCTGGTGTATTTGTTGCAGCATGTACTTGGTGCAACAATAAATCATGACCAACTCTAAAGCAGCAGCCACTAATGAACGCAGATGAAAAGAAGACTCTGGGTTATATAACTGAGGTTTGGTTTGAGAATTTTGGGAAACAGTGTGGAGTCAGAGGGAGACGGTGTGAACAGAGCAGGTGCATCGAGGCGGTCTGCCAGACAACATTAACTCCTAACTCTGTACGGAATAACAAAGGCTGCTGTATTTAAAAGCCATACCAAATAATATCAATAGACGGACTTTCAGCCTTCAGTACATTGAACGTGTAAACAAGGCTAGGAACAAACAGGTTTTTCACAAGGCAACGAAACTCCACAGTCGCTTAATAATAAACCGAATCAATTTCACTCCCTAAAGAGAAAACAACAAAACAAATAAATAACCATAAAAAACAACAAAAACGGTGATCCGGCTTTTTCAGAGAGAAACAACGTTAATTCTTGGCAAACCGCTGCCGAAGCGGACTTACCCAGAAGATGATGTTGAAAGCGAAAAGCAGATATTTCACACATTTCATCCCACCCTGCACTTTGCTCATGATGCCACCTGATTTGTCGGAGTCTCCGATCTATTGCGCGATTCCTTCTTATTTTGCAGCGTCTTTCAGCTGGACATCAACCCATGCAATGAAGACCTGCGCCGTTACACCATCCAGACATGAAACATGCGCACAAGTGCTGCTGCACGCCATCTGCACACGCCCATAAGTGTTCGTGAGTGCTGAGGTACCCAAGGTGGGGTTCAGGGACGATCTGGGATCCCTGAGAGAGACACCAAGAGGTCTCCCAGCGAGAGCAGAGAGAGGGGTTCATTTGTGTGTTCGACACCAATGATTTGGGCTTAAAAATAAATAAATGAGGGGAAAGCCGGTGGTATGGGTTAACCAGCATTGTTACGAAGATAATATTTCTTACAACATGGTTGATCATATGTTTTGCAAGTAAAAAGAATTTTGTAATCGTGACTGAATACCGAATTACACAACAATACATGTACAACTGGTGAACCAAAAACATCTGTTTGCAGTATTTATTTTAAATTCTACTTTGAAGTGAATATGGTAGATTTGAACTTCAGGTTAGTAAAGTCTTGAGGAGCTACTGCACATCTTGGCATAGTCTTGCATTACATGAAAATTATATCAGTGTGACAGTATGACACTTTGGATTCCACTACTTATGTGTGTGACCTTTACATTAGACGTTGGGCAAGAATTTATCATGGAGACACTTTTAACATTGTCCTCTGCCAGTCACTGATATCCCTGTTTGTGTGAAAATAGCTTCTTGTGTGCACCTACAACACAGTGACCTAATAGTTAAAATAAGATCAGCAGAGACATAGCCAGGATTTTGGAGATGTTATTATCTGATCTCTTATGTAGACCTGTTGTTCTTGCTAGGACGGCATATTACAAAAAGTTTGGCGGTAAAACAAAGAATAAGCCATGTTTGAAAATGGGCAATAGTTTCGACTTTAAATTAGATACAAATGTAGCAGGTACACAGTCTATAAATAGAAAGATTAAGCTTTGTAATTTTAAAAGCTATGTCCAGTATGTAATCTTTCCCCACATGACTAGTCAGGTGTAAGACTAAGTAGCGGACAGTTCTCAGGAATACATTTGAAAATATGGAACGCTCTTAACAACACGTTTAATTTTGAGTGTGCCATTCATGATTCCTCTTTAGACTTGCATACCCAAATACTACCACTGATAATGTTAAAAAGAAGATAATCATTAGGCATCTCAGTATATTGACGTTTGAAAAAGAACCTATAGTATAAGATGGAACAACCATTAGGTGAAGGTGGGAAGGAGAAACTCCATTTTCACAGGAAGGAACCTCTATCAGATGGCTCGGGCAGACGCTGTCATCTGCTGTGACTGGTTGTGAGTGGGGAGAAAGAGGAGAGAAAATGGAGAATGGAGGAAGACAAGAAAAAACACAAACTATGAGGCAAGTCTGGACTTTATTTACTGTAAACCTACTAATGCTTTCACTTTGTGCGAATGTAGGACCTATCCCGGTCCTACATTCAACCATTCATTTGCTTTTCTCTTAATAACCAATATTTTTGTATGCAATGTTTTTAAGCTTTCTTCTTTTCTTACTTACTTTCTTTGTTAAATTCAAATATTTGAATATATTCTTTTTAATTTTGCAGTGCTTTTAAATAATAATACATTTTAAATCTTTGCTTATGTGTCTAAGTGTTGTTTTTTTTGTTAATTTACAACAACATACCAATAACCAAAATGATCAGCAGCAGCAGCATTGACATGTTTTTATTGTACTTTGGCTAAACACATGCAAAAGTAATGACATTGAGCCTCATGTTAAACTAACATAATAAACATCAAATGTGTTATATAGTCTGTACATGATCTCAGAATTAGTGTGACAAAAGACAAATTTCTTTTGGCCTGAGATAAAGTTAATGTACTAAAATACAGATGGGTTTAAATGCTTGACCCTTACAGAGGATGTAGTTATGCTGTCGGGATCATTATGTGAGACTTTAGGACCGCTCTCTTGGCCTGGACGAGTGATTGAAAACCTTCAGCTTCGGAGTGATATACATATCTTTTACTAATCTCTAGTGGCTCCCTGTGGCTTTGACAAAACAAAGCAACAAAAAAACACAATTAAACATTTTTTTTTAGTTCTGCATCATTGTTATATGTGTATTATAGACAGAATTTTAAGAAAGAAAATAGTTTTAATATTTTATCAGCTAAAATGTAAAATCTTAGTCCCTGTCTTCAATCTTAGACTCTTAATTTTGTTTATTCTTAGTAAAGGTGCATATGGATGTACATCCTACATACAAATATCTACTCCCATGTCCCCCTATAATTTAACCACAGGCTGTAACTTTATTTAAAAGGCTATGTTACATTTACTATAAGTAAAAGTTGAATTGTTGTTGTTGTTGTTGTTGTTGTTGTTGTTGTTGTTGTTGTTGTTGTTGTTGTTGTTGTTAAAAGCAGAGATTTTGTAGCAGCACACTGGACAGAGTTTTCCACTAACATCTTCAACACACCTAAAATGAAGGAATATAATTTGGAATAATCCAGCCAGATGTGGGGCTTAGAGAATCAACACCAAAGCACAATGAAGCTCTTCTTATGACACATACTAAGACACCTTAGTTGATGCTGTCTCATTCACCCTTAAATAGAATGAGTCTAAATGAACATTGCCTAAAAACAAAGTCAGAGTGAACATCTTTCATAGGTCAGTGCTTAAAACATGAAGACTTTATTAATATAATATAATATATCGTATTAATAATAATGCAAGCTGATTCCTGTGAATGAAGAGTATGTATGGAGATTTGCCAGTGCTCTTCTGTGCCTTCTTTGCAGGACGGAGGGAGGTCATCTCGGGGTCACACGCTTTGTGACATGCAAGCTTCTCTTGTTTGTAGTGCCTTTGTTTGCTGCAGTGATGTGGGAGAGAAACAGCGACCCTCCCTGTATGTCTGCCAGAGTATCAGTGAGAATCAGCATGGGTGGATCATGAGACACATCACATCACTGCCTACCACCTCTATTTTCTTTCTCTCTCTCTCTCAAAAAAAAAAAAGAAATCAAACAGGACTCAACAAACACAAGGAAAAAAGTATGACAATGACAGCAGTTCTCCTTTTTTTTTATAGAGATAAACAGATGGCATTGTACACACTTGAATTACAAATGATTAATAGTTTCCATGTGACCCAGAATAAGATCATTGGACTGGATGGGTGTTAACCCGATATCAGTTCGGTTACCCAATCCTGTCATGAATTCAGGACTGTAATTATCACTGCGGAAGTGCATCCAAACTGAAATGATATCCTCAGGGTAAAATGGAGCCATAATCCCATTATCCCTCCACCGACACACTGTCCTTACCTCCTCACCCTCTTCTACTGTTCTTGATATGTAAATGAGGTGCAAAAATGTAACCTGATCTCCATACGGTGCAAGTATGAGTCATCCTATGAGCCAAGAGACACCAGAGGTGAAGTGCAGTCAAATCTCACTTTATATTTTTTCTTTGAACAGGCCGTGCTAAACCTCTAATTAGAAAAATGGCCAATTACTGTTTCAAAAGACAACTTTAGTTAGAACAAATAACTGACGAAAATAGCAAAATACAGTTATCTTTAGTTCCTTTGCAATGCATATAAACAATGTCACTCAAAATATTTAAGTACATTTCCATACCCCTAATGTGCACCACTAGAGTAAGAGAAAACCTGTACGCAACAGAAAAACGTCTATGCGTTTCATTGTCTCCATCCAGTGGACAGAGCTCGAAATATCAAGTCTCTCAGCTGTGGTTTGCAGACACTACTTATGAAAGAGGCCACTTTGTTTCGGTCTTTATGCAGTTATCTTTATCCTTGCCACAATGCTCACTTTGAATGGATCTTAAATTATAAATCTATTAGTTGATATGAACAATTTATGCATTTTAAATTTTATTCAGCCTTTACTTTTACTGGACCTTTCAAACAAATTTCAGTATCTTAGCAAGGTAGGATTACTGCGTCATACTACACAATTATATCTATGAAATTATGTAAGCTCAGGTACCTTGTTAGTACATTCATAACTTAATCCATCCTGAAAACGATATCCGGAAATAACCAATAACAAAAATAATTTTTGTTATTTTTTTAAGACAAAAAACGTTATGAATGTATTAAGTAACAGTAGGTCAAACCATCTAATTAAATTACACCTTCTGGAAGATGTGGGTGTCATTTTTTACTGAATGTTTTTTTTTTAATTTCATACATTTTAGTTACACATACACAGGATTTTTCCATTTCATATCAGCCATATTGACTCTTCTCCACTTGCCACAGGACAGCAGCTTGGGGACTCCCGTCAATTTCGCGTTGCTCAATAAAACGAAGTAAACATGTTCAAAACAAAGAAGCGCTACTTTTTCCGAGGGTTTCGCATGGGCCCTGAACTAAACACGAGGCATGCGCATGGACATGCACACTGACGTCTGGCATGTGGTAACGTAAGGCTTTTTATAACGCGATTATAAAAACAAAAAAAACCCCTATTTTCTTAGAAACCATGGAAAAACGATCTATAACAAAATCAAATTAATATTTGTCCTATTTTGTTCATTTAAGTGAGCATCAGTGCTGCTTTTAAGTTTGTGGAGGTAGTGTATGAAACGTGGGGAACTAGCTACAATTTATTGCCTGAGCGGAGTCTAATATCTGTCAAATCCAACATGTTAGGAGTCACGTTTTTTTTTGTGAAAGTATTATTTTTAGGAAAGATTTCATGTTTCCGTCTTGACCTCTAGGGGGAAGTGTTGCATTCTTTTTAGCAGTTGAGCCCTGTTGCTTTATCTTAAAACTCAAGGTTTCCAGGAATACAACCTCATCTGATTTCTGTTTGCATTTCTACATTAGTTCCATGTTCGCTCAATCATATCAGACACCTCAAATACCCGATGGGACACAAAATTAGGCTGCAAGCCTACAAAAATCCCAATCGATACTGCCTGGAGAATAATTTTGTGTTCACTGAGAGCACTGAAATATCACTGGAAAGGTATTGTATTATCAATCATTTTTGACCTGTGTTTGTCTTTTCAGTTTTGTTTCATATGCACTGTAGAATGATAGCAAGAGAAAAACACAAAGCAAAGCCAAAAAAAAAAAAAAAAAAGAATGGCGGTAAAACGAAGCCATATGGGAATTCTCTTTTTTTCACTTCT